AGACCAAAAAGTTCATATTTAACTCAGTAGACTGTAGAGATTTACTGAAGATTTTTGAGCAAAGAAATAAAATGGGCAGCAAGGTAGCACAGTGCATAGAGTGCTGGGTCCAGAGTCAAGAAGTGTCATCTTCCTGAGTTCAAATCTGGCCTCAGACACTTACTAGCTGTATGACCCTGGGCAAGTCACTTACCCCTATTTGCCTCGGTTTCCTCATCTGTAAAAAGAGCTGGAGAAGGAAATGGCAAACCACTCCAATATCTTTGCCAAGAAATTTCCAAATGGGATCACAAAAGAGTCAGACATGACTGAAAACCAACTGAGCAACAATAATAAGCACAGATCTTCTGTAAGGAAGAGTAGTCCAGCAGCACTATGAGACAGATTGGAGTATGAATACAGTGGAAGTCAGAAGACCTACTAGGAAGCTATTGAAACAAAAGTAATGAGGGCCTGTAGTAGGGCAGGAGCAGCTGAAACAGAGTTTTATCTGTTGTGAGTCTTATCACAAAGATAGAACTTATGGGATTTGTTAATTAATTGGGTATAAAAAGTGAGGGAAGTGTCAGAGAAAACATCAGTTTAAAACACAGGCACCTGGATACATGTTTATGCCACTAGCAAAAATAGTGAAGTTAAAAGAAGATATGGGTTTACCGAGAAAGATTCTCTCTACTATTTACTTCCCCCGTGAATCTGAATAAGTCACTGAACTCTGGGCCTCAGTTTTCTCATCTATAAATAGGGGTGGTGGGGTGGAACTACATGAAATCTAGGTTTTCTTCCAGCTCTAGAGATGTATGTATCCTATATTTGTATGATCCTATAATTGATTTGTTTCAAACATGATGAGGCGAAGAAAACATTAGGTGCCAGGTAGAGATGTTCTGTGGTTAATTAAGGATACAGATCTGGAGTTTGATAGAAAAGCCGTGCCTGAAGAATCAGATTCAAGAACCATCTGCAGAGAATCAAGAGTTAAAGCCTTGGAGGTGGATGAGATTGCCAAGGGAGGGTGGAAGGGAAGGAAAGGGAGTGCTGAGGACAGAGCCTTGAGAAACACGCACTTTTAAGAGTCAGGACCATCATGTGAAGTCAACAATGGGACAGGCAGAAGTGCAGACAAACCATAAGATTACAGACTTTGATTTGGAAAGGACCTCAGGAATTATTTACTCCAGCCTCTGGAACTGAAGTCCAGAGAGACTATGATTTGTCCAAGGTTAGACAGAGAGTAACTGATAAGAACTGGAATTAATCAATTGACAAGCATTTATGAAGCACCTACAGTATTCCAGGCATTGTGCTAGGCACTGGGGACAATTTTTTTTAAATCCTCCCTCTATTTGCAAGGAGCTTACATTCTACACCCAAGCCCCTGCCTCCAATACATCCCTCTTTCCATTTCACATGCTGTTTGTCTCCCTTGGAGCAGGAGAGTTAGTGCTTCTGAAGCCAAGAATGGAGGGAAAATCCACAAAGAGGGAGTGATTAAAGGGACCATATTTGGAAAAATTGTCAAGAAGCATGAGGACTAAAAAATTGTTAAACATTTAAGGTATGTGATGGGGGTGGGGGAGAGGCAGGGAGGGACATAGAATTTTCAGAAGCTGCAGTTATTTTTGATGTGTGTTTCTAAATTAGAAATATTCTCCCAAACCAAAATCTTCTCAAATTAGCACAGGTCCTGACAGCCCAAGGAAAATGATCTTTTTCCCCCAGAAAGTTCCCCAAGGTAGCAGCTGAGCCTCAGCAAATGCTTATGACCAGGACCTGTGGATATTCCACAAGGTTATCATAACCCACAAGGGGAAGAAAAAACAAAGCCAGCAGCTGGGATTCCTGCTGTTTAACTTTAAAGAAGTCGTGATTTTGTGTGAAAAGCAAGTAAAACATTAGATAAGATCCTTCCTTGTGGATTAACCAGAATGTGTAAGGAGGCACTGATTTTCATGTGGATATTAATTACTTCTCCTCTGCACCATTTTTAGGGGCCCTTGTTTTAATTTAAATGTAAATTCCAAACAAATCCTCTTTACTTTAGATCTTTCCCATTCTTATTGACAAATAAGATAAGGATGTCTCTATCTAGTGAAGAACAAATCTCCTGCACATCCAATAATGGCACAGCCCTGCATAATTATTATGGGATAAATGACTGAGCAGAGAGCTAAAATCCCTGAAGGAAGTTGCCCAGGCCAGGAGGCCAGTGGCACGCTAAGCCCGGAGCAATAGTGTTCTGGTAAGAGACTGAAGGAAGGCTCACAGTCACTGGTATTTATCTAGTGCTTGAAAGTCTACAAAGTGTTCCAGGCTCAACATCCCCTTTGAATCTCATTCTAACGTATGGGAGTAGGTTCTGCTCTGGCCATTTTACAGAGAAAGAAATGGAAACTGAGAGTGAGAGCATCTTCCCCAGGGTCACACAGCTAATAGGTGGCAGAGGCAGGACTTGAGCCCATATCTTCCTGCCTCCAGATGTACCACAGTCAGTCTACGATTAACTTTCACTGTTTGCTTCTAAAACTTGTGCATCTTTTGGAGTGGAGACAGCCCTGAACTTCAAATCAGGAAACTTCAGTTCAACAATCCACTCTGCTATTTCCTATGAGTCTCGGAGGAAGCCACTTCACCTCAATTTTTTCATCTCTAAAATGAGGGGAACGATCATATATTATGTATATACCATGTGCCAAGAGAGGGGTGACTAGGTGGCACAGTGGGTAAATCACCAGGCCTAGAGTCAGGAGGACCTGAGCTCAAGTCTGGCCTCGCTGTGTGACTCTGGGCAAGTCACTTAACCCATCTGTGAAAATGAGCTGGAAAAGGAAATGGCAAATTATTCTACTATCTTTACCAAAAAAACCCCAAATGGGGTCACAAGGAATGAAAAAAACTGAACAACAAAAAATCTGCCAGGCATTATGCTCAGCACTTTACAAATATTGTCTTATTTGATCTTCATAACAACCCTGTAAGGTAGGTTCTATTATCATTCCCATTTTCCAAATGAGGAAACTGAAGCAAACGGAGATCAAGTGACCTGCCCAGGGTCACACAGCTATTAAATGTCTGAGGCAGGATTTGCACTCAGATCTTCCTGATTCCATGTCTAGTGCTTTACCCACCTAACTACCTCTAGGATAAAGATATGAGGATGATAATACACCCCTCAAGGGCAAGGCTCTTGGAGACTTAATATCCTCATCTATTTTGTTGTCATGGTGGTGATGGTGGTGGTGGTGATGGTGGTGGTGGTTTCAATAGTGTCCAACTCTTTGTGACCCCACTTGGGATTTTCTTGGCAAAGATACTTTTTTGTTTTGCCATTTCTTTCTCCGGCTCATTTTACAGATGAGGAAACTGAGGCAAAGAGGGTTAAGTGACTTGTCCAGGATCACACAGCTAGTAAGTATCTGAAGTCATGCTCGGATTCAGGTCTTCCTGACTCCAGGCCCAGCACTCTATCCACTGAGCCACCTCATTGCCGCATCTATAAAATGTGGGTAACAATACTTGGAGCACCTACCTTCCACCGCTGTTATAAGGATAAAATGAGATAATATTGAGAAAGCACTATATAAATACTAGCACATCAGATGGAGAGCTGGGCCTGGAGTCAGCAAGCCCTGCCTGCCCCTTAGAGAGTGACCGGTCATGCTGAATTCTTCTCAGGACATTTAAATCCACTCAGACATTTTTGGAATTGGGCAGATTCTTTTGCCATTGTCACACCCTCACTAGCAAGTTCCCCTTCTTCATAACCCTGACAAAAAAGCAAGCTTGTGCTCCCTATTTTATGCTGAGGGCCCTGTTTTCTTACCAATTCTTGCCTGTTTATTCTCCTTGTTCTCACCTCAAAACTGAGCCTAAGATATTTCAAATACCATCATATTTGCAGGTCCATGGTCCTTGACTTTCCCAGGCAGTTTCCTGCTGCTACTAGTCTCTGGAGTTATGTAGATGTGTTGTTTTTTTTAATTCCTGACCCCTGAGTTGCAGCAGATCACCTAGATTTAGATCAGGAGGGGACACTGAGATTTAGAGATGAGATGACTTGCCCAAGGTCACATAGTTTAGTAAGTAGTAGAATCAGGATCCAAACCCCATTCTGACCACAGGTCCACACCACACTGCTGGGACAGATAACCCAACAGTACTTCTTCCCATAGGATCATACATACAACCATAAATTTAGGAGATCTTAGCCTTACTGCCCACATCAGAGATAATGCCCTGGAGGATTCAACCCTTTCAGCTCCAGAACTCTGCAGTCAAAAGATATGGATTCAAATCCTACCCCTGACACTTACTGCCCATGTGTTCTTGGGCAAATCACTCCCTGGGCCTCAGTTTCTTCATCCGTAAAATGAAGAGATCAGATTAGATGGTCTCTGAAGCCCCTCCCTCAACTAGATCTATGATCCCATTTGTATTTGCAACCCTAGTGCTTAACACCAATGTTTGGCACAGGCAGCATTTAATCAACGTCTTCTATTCATTCATTCATCAGGTTCAATCCCCTCATTCTACAGGTGAGGAAACTAAGGCAGAAAGAGATGTGAGTGATTTGTCAGTGTCACATAGCTAATATGTCAGATGAGATTCACAGCCAGGGTTTCCTGCTTCTAAGTCCAGCTCCGGCCACTACACCATACTGTCTGTCTAAACCTAAATGATAGTCTGATTCCCAAATGGTTTTGTGCTGCATATAACCAGATGTCAGGAAGGCTGCTTGGTGATTTGTCTCCTAAGTACCCTAGTCTGAGAAAGAATGCACAAGCCAAGCCACGAATACCGCCTGCAAAGACATGAGATGCATCACTACATATATTAAGAGACTTAATTATGCCATGATATATTCATCACCACCAACAAACAGTGACTAAGAAAAGGAAAGATTACCAGCTCATGCAGCAAAAAGTCAACAAACAGGGGAAGGAGGTTAAGTTCTTCCAGTCTCACCGAGATCTTAGTGGCATCAATTCGAGATGGCTTACCTTCAACACAGGAAGGCTGAGCCCTCGTGGTGCCAGCAACCTGCCCTGGGAAGCAAGAGCACTTGACAGTCTGGGATCGCTCCTCAATCCTGTTCTTATTGCAGCAGCGGTGCACGGCGACCACTTCACACGTCCCTTGCTTGACCTGGTGGTGCCCTGAGATGTGCATAGACAAAAACATACACAAAGGCGTTTAGCCTCACAAAGGGCAAGAACAAGGCTATGGCACCATTTGCAGTACCCAAGTTCTTTCTTTCTTTTCTTTTCTTTTTTTTAATATAGCAAATCCTTGTTTACTGAGATATGTTTACTGGTAGATAGAGGGCCAGTCCTTAGAGTCAGGAAGATCTGGGTTCAAGTTCTATCACTGAATTATATTGGCTGTGTAACCCTGGGCAAATGACTTAACCTTTTAGGGCATGAAGGTTCTAATTCTATCAGATAATGATAAAGTCGAAGGAATTTAGTAACCAGGAATTCACTCCACCAATGAAACCATTGGTCAGATCAATACATAAACCAGGATGTGCTGGAGCCAGCTTTAACCAGCTCACAAGAGCTAATTGTTCAATTTTCAGTGTGAGCATCGACACCTCGGAAACCGGCAAATGTTTTCCTCGTACTCGTGTTTTCATCTTACCTAGAGACAAAAAAAAAATTCAGTTGACTTTTTCTAGGAAGAATTCCTGGGCTCCCAAACTTTGCTGGTTGCTATTTTGATTTTTATCCCTCTAAAAATATTACAATTAAAGATTTATGTCCAGTTATGTAGGAGGCATCTTGGTGTAGTGGATAGTGAACCGGCCTCAGAGTGAAGAAGACTTGCTTCTAACACCTGCTGAGATCATGGACCTTGAGCTAGAAAACGCTTTAGAGGCTGTATAATCCAACTCTTCATTTCACAGTTGAGAAAACTGAGGCCCAATTAAATGACTCGCCCAAGGTCAGAGGCAGGATTTACGACTGACAACATTTTGCTGTTACCACTAAGTAGGGGGTTGTACTTGGTCCTAACAGAATTTAGGGCTAGAAGGATGTCATCTCCAGAATTCACTTCCTCTTCATCTCCAGCACCTTCAAATCCTCAGTTTCTTTCCATGCTCAACTCAATGCCCCACATCTAACAGGAAGCCTTTACAGATTTCCTGCAGTTGTTAGTGCTTTCTCCCACCTCAAATTCTACTGTATTTACTTTATCTGTTTAAATGTAGCTTGGACCCTTTGAGCAATGGAGCTCCTATTATTATCCTATATGAAGGTGGTATAACTAAACAGAGTGAAAATTGTGAATACTCCACAGAAAACACAACTGTGAAAAGAGGATCAAAACCATCACTGGTCAAACCCAAACTACTGATTTAGACATTAAGAAGTATCTGGAGAAGGGAAGCCAAGGCAAGGAAGGGTCTTGAGTACGCACCACATTGAGAGAAATTATTGTTTTACTATTATATTAACAACCAATTATTAAATTGGGATCCAGGCTTCTGTCCTCAGTTTCCTCATTAAGGCCCTGCTCCTGTTTAGGGAGAAAAAAAATGACTGATTGATGAGATTGGCCCTAGCCCTCAAGGAACATGCCTTTCAATCTTGCATGGGACCCTACTCAACTGGGAGACCTTCTATTTAGAGTATAAACAGAATCCGGTCTAGGCCAGTTCTTACTCTGGGGAAAAGAGTCCCTGTCCTTATACTCCTCCATTAGAGTTTAGGGTGACCCAACTCACGAAGGAGAAAACCAATCAGAGTGGTCAGGATGGAGATCTGTCCCCGGGACAGATTGCTGGTCATGGCTGAGTCTTATGATCAAGCCACATTTTCAGCAGAAGGAGCTGGAGACTTCTAGCCCACCTCCTCATGTCCACCAATCAGGGTTAACTTCCACTTGTCAAAGTCATTCCCTTTAAAAAAGTATATAAAGCTTTTAGAATCTCCATGGGTTGTCTTTGGTTACCAAGAGAAACCATTGACCATCAATTTACTAATTGCCAGCTTGCCTAAATAATAAATTGATTATTAATTAACCAGAAACTGTCTCTCAGGGTTTTTCATTGGGCAGAATATGATGATCAGTTGATGAGGCTTATTCCACATGGCCCAGAGGGCTGAACATCCAGAAAACAATGGGTTCAAGTTGTTAGGAGTCAAATAGTTAGTAAGATGTCCAGCCATTTCATTCCCTTTGATCCATTTGTGCCAACTAAATGGAGACAGGAAGACTTGAGTTCAAATCCTATCTCAGGATATTTACAAGCTGTGTGACCCTGGGCAAATCACTTAACCTCTGTCTGTCTCAATTTCCTCACCTGTAAAATGGAAATAATAACAGTACCTACCTCCCAGGGTCATTGTGAAGATCAAATGAAATAATATTTCTAAAACACTTTGCAAACCTTAAAGTGCTGTGCAAAAGCTAGACTTGATATCAGGAAAGACTTCTTAAAAATAAGAGATGTCCTTGTTAGGTAAGGGGTTTGCCCCTCACTGGAGGTCTTCAAGAAAATGTTGGATGAACACTCATTGAGTAAATTACCAAGGGAATTTTCCATCAAGTATGGGTTGTACTAGATGAACACTGAGATGCCCTCCACCTATGAGATCCTGTGACAGAGTGATTCTGATTTCCCACTGCTTACCAATAGCTTGAATACATTTACAAAATATAAAGGCCAAGTTCATCATTTAAAAAAGAAACGGTGGCCACAAAATCACATAGAGTTTGTGTCAACAGGCATAAAAATGGGGGGAAATGCTCGATTAGGTTCATAATAGCAAGAATGACCTAGAGGTCAGGCATTTTCTGGCAACTGGTGACTAGCTGTGTAGAGGGGCCAAGATGAATTAACTCCTCAATTATCTGTCAGGAAATGCCCTCCCTGTTAGCCATTAGGCTGTAATTAGATTACTAAATGACACAAGAGGGTCAGCAAATGAAGGGAGAGTTATCTCTGCGCCTGTAACACAAAATGGGAGAAATATGCTCTAATGAATTCTTGTAATAGACAAAAAGCTCTTCAGAAGGGCCACTAATTTTTAAAGTATAAAGAAAAATGTTTTCAAATGGGCTATTAATGTGTCTCATTTGAAAACTCAAAGGGAATTTTCTATTTCAACTGTGAGCATCCTATTCTCAGCTTCTTCATCAAGAAAATGAGAGGGTTGGGCTATGTGGTGGCTGAAGTCCCTTCCAGATTCAACATCCTGGGATTCCATGATTCTATGGCCTGTTAATAATCAATCCATCTATTTGGAAAAACACCTATAGTCACATTCAGAAAACCAACTTAGTAACTTCCACTGGCAGAGTTGTGGCCTACTGGAAATTTGGCTGCCATCAATCAAATGATCAATCAATAAGCATTCACTAAGCACCTACTACGTGCCAGACTACAGAAACAAAAATTCAACAATCCCTGTCCTCAAAAGGCTTATACTCTATCAGGGAAATTACCATGTGTATGCCCAGGCACTTTGAGAATTATGCAAAATAAATACAAAATTATCTGGAGGTAGAATGGGGTAAAGTGTTAGCGTCTGGGACAATCAGAGAAGGCTTCTTGAAAAAAGTAATGCTTGAGCCAATCAACCAACTGCCCATACTGTAAGTTATATTTATCACATTGGGGGCTTATAGAAAAAACATTATATATGAAGAGACTAAAAATAGAAGCCATCTCATATACTTCCTAACTGGACAACTTCGATCAAATCACTGACCTTCTCAAAAACTCAGTTTCCCCATTTATAAAATGAAATAATAAGCCTGATGCCTCTTTTCCCTTCCAAGATGAACATATCCATTTTTGTGAAGAAAGAATCATATTAGCATGAGCTATAATAATTATCATAATATAGTAGTTTAAGGTTTATAGGCATTTTACATATATTATCACATTTGATCCTCAAAACAACCATGGATGCTATTATTATCCCCATTTTACAAATGAAGAAACTGAGGGAGAAAAGGGTTGAATGATTTGCCCAAGGTCACATGACTTTTAAGTATCTGAGGTAGGATTTGAACTCGGGTCTGACCTTTTACAAGATACCAATGCACATTTTTTTCCTTTGGTACTCATGTGCTAAATCAGTGCTCCTACAAATTGTTATTTCTTGGAGTCAGCTTACTTCAGGCAATCAAGTGTTCTAACTAGGGCCTTAAGAACAAAGGCTCATGGGTCTAGAAGGGAACTTGAAATCATCTAGTCCAAGCCTTGATTATTGTGTTGGGGAATTATAGGAAAGATCACCTTATGTATTTTTGCCTAGGAACTAGGAAAATTGAGATAATTGAACAGATCTGTGATCTCTTCAGTATGGGTACTACCTCCAACTATGCATATTACAGTCTACCAATAGATATCCATCTTGTATGACTTTTGTCCTGATAGATCCTCCCCTGAATCCACCACAGGGGAGCCATTGTAGAGGTGAAGCCTTTCCTCTAGTTCCTTTGACATTGGTAGCAAAGTAGATAGAGCAACTCATGATGGAAAATGCTATCCACATCTAAAGAAAGAGCTATGGAGTATGAATGCAGATTGAAGCATACTATTTGCTATTTTTTTCTTCTGTTTTGTTTTGTTTCCTCCTTCTGATGGTTCCTCCTATTGGTTCTAATTCTTCCTTACAACATCACTAATGTAAAAACATGTTTCATAAGAATGTGTGTGTGTGTGTGCGTATGTGTGTATGTATATAACCTATATCAGATTGTGTGCCGTCTTGGGGAGGGAAGGGTGAAGGAGGAGGAGAAAAATTTAAAACTCAAAAGCTCATGGAAATGATTGTTGATAAATCAAAATAAATTAAATTAATAAAAAAAATTAAAACAGAGTAGATAGAGCACTCCACTTGGAATTTGGAAGACACAAATTCAAATCTAGCTTTATGCACTTACAGGCTGTGTGAACCTAGGCAAGTCACTTAACCTCTGTCTACCTCAGTTTCTTCATCTATAAAAGAATGGGGATAATAATGACATTAACCTCCCAAGGCTGTTGTCAAGCTAAAATGAGGTGATATTTGTAAGTAAAAGATGATAGAGGGCACTAAAACATTGGAGAATGGTCAAGAAAACTCTCAACTGGAGGTGGTATTTGAAGGAAACTAGAGATTATAAGAGATAGGTATGAGGAAAGAGAACATTCCAAGCA